TATATATACTGTATATATATAATTTTATTTAACTTACGTCAGTGTGTTTGTTCTGCTTTTGCCTCTTGTTTTTAGCTTCTAGCTGACAATCAGGTGCCTGATTGTCAGCACCTTTGAGCAACCAGTGGTAATACCGTATATTCACTGGCTGAGACCAAAGTCTATCCTCCAAGATGAATGTGGGATTTATCAGAGACTACCCCCAGAATTTGGGAGTGGAGAACTTGGGATGGCTTGCCTGCATTCCTGACCAGAACCCCATTGAACACCTGTGGGATCAACTCGGGCGTTATGTTCAATCCAGGATGACAAACCCAACCACGCTGCCTGACTTGCAACATTGTGGCTGTTCTGACAGCCAGGGCAGGTAACAGCAGCGGCTGTGCACATGCATGGTTTGTCTGCAGTATAGAGTGAAGTGGAGTATGTCTCTGTGCTTTGACTGCAGGAGGGATCCCAGTGACCCTGACGGTCTGTGAGCACTTTGGGAAGAAGAGAGCCTCACAGCTGCACCACTGCTTGGTCGGGACAGGAACTGTACAATTATTGGTGCTTTCACCTGCAGTCTGTCGCCAAGTAAGCAACACTCCTTGCACTCAGACATAACACACTATGGAAAGCATGACCCACTGTGCTCTGCTCTGACTGCTTGTGTTTGCTTAATTTGTTGAAGGCCGTATCAGTTTAATCCCTGTATCATAATTAAATTAGATGGCTTTAACAAGACCACAACATAAACATGATTGTGTTTTTCCTTTCATTTTCACAGATGATGGAAATCTACTCTGGCCGCATTCTAAATGATAAAAATTGGTCAAAGTGACGGAAATATTTAATCCTTGAAAGCTGAAAGCAAAAGAAAAATGACAAATCTGATTATCTGTACAGTCTTAGAAATCACAATTCTATAAATTTTAACAGTGATGTCAATTTAGAATTGCATGACTAATTGGGCAAAAGAAATTTGTACCAAAACTGCCCCAGGCTACAGAGCTCGCAGCTGCTGCTACTGGCACCAAAAAAAATAAATAAATAAATAAAAAGCTCTGAGCAAATGTAATGAAATTGTAACAGCAGAGTAATGAGCTATGAACTAGCCTTCGCATATGTTAATATGAATTTTTGGAGATTACAGTTGTAAACAGCAAAACCCCACTATGGTCTTGGCCCCGCTCAAACTGACTGTTAGCTAATCAGCCTCTTCTTCAGACTTAAGCTCTACTCCTCCAAACTAATGGTGCGTTCACACCGAACGCGATTTCAGCTTCAAAATCGCAGCCAACGCTGAAGTTTGAAGCTTGTGCAC